AATCATATAATTTGAATCACTAGATGCAGAGATATAATGTCTTAAAAATACTGTACAAAAATTGGGGTAAAAAAATATTTTAAAGAAAATTTTAAAGAAAATCATTTTTGCAAATATCTCTGTATCCAGTAGACCAAATTAGATGATTTTGATATCACTAGATTCACATAAACAAGATGAATCTGATATTATCAAAATCATCTAATTTGGTTAATTAGATGAAAAGATATTCACAAAAAACTATTTTCTTCAAAATATTTATTCCAGTTTGATACATTATTTTGAGATGTGATATCTCCGTATCTAGTGATCCAAATTAAATGATTTTGATATCATTAGATGTGTTATATCTTGAAGAATTTGTAGTTAAAATTTTATTTAATTTGATTAACTAGATGTGAAGTTATTTGCATTTTGGTAAAATAATATTTTTTTCATATAAATTTTGGTTTGATACTAAATTTTATTTTATATATATTTATATATATATTTTGAACTTGTTATTGAAATCACTTAAAATTTTGATATAATATACAATATATTTAAATGATTATATTAGCTTAAAATCATAAATCTTGCTTTTTTATTAGTTTTTGCGTTATTATATTTTAAAAAGTGTCAACAATATTCTAGGAGGTCTCTGTAATAAGTTTTTGTAACATTATTGATAAAGTTTTATTGAATTGTTTTACAATTCCATTCATTTGTGAGTGATATGACAATGAGTATTTGTGTTATATTTAAATTTATCAGTGAGTTCTTCTATTATTTGTGCTATAAATTCTGTTTCTTGATCTAATTGTAATATTTTTGAATATTTTTGTCAACAGAAAATTTCTTTAAAGATAAATTTTGCAACTGTAATAATTTCTTTGTTAGATATTACTTTTGCTTTAGGCCATTTTATTAGATAGTCTATTGCTGTAATAATATATCAATTTCATTGTTGAGTTTGTTTGCATGGTCCAATTAGATTAATTACAATATGATCAAATAGTTGTTCAACTTTGATGGGATGTAAGAGTTCTTTGAATTGTCAACTTCTAGTAAATTGGCATGTTAAGCAAGATTTTACAAAATCTTTTATATTAGTTTTCATTTTATTTTACTAATATAATATAGTTATTTGTTAATAAGTTCCATTATATCCAAAGTGTCCAGATAATGGATATTCATGTATTTCTTTTATTACTGCTTCTATTTCTATTTCTTTTAGTACTTGAAGTGAATTATTAGCATCTTTTTCTCAATTAATTTTATAAAGTATATTATTTTGTATTACAAAATATTTAAATTGTTATTAAAGTTGTTTCTTTTGTTGTTCAGTAAGAGTTAAGTTATAAGTTTCATTGTTCAAAAATTGAAGTAAGTTATAGTAAGTTGTTAAATTCATTTTTGAGTAATTGATTATTTAATGATCAGCAGAGTTAATTTGGGATAGAGCATCAACATTTTGATTTACTCATCCAGGTCGATAACTAATTATAAAGTTATATTTTATTATTGTTATAATCCATCAAGAAATTCTAGATGTTGGATTTGTTTGTTTAGTGAAATATCATCATAATGCATTATTATTTCAAAAGTTGTTCCAAGTAAGTAATATCTAAATTGATAAACAGCCCAAACTACTGCTAAGATTTTCTTTTCAGTTGTGCTATATCAAGTTTTAGCAGGTTTAAGAGAAATGTTCAAGTAAGCAATTACTCGTTCTCAATTTTTCTTTATCTTTCTATAAGAGTACAGCTCCCAATTCAGAGTCAGAAACATTAGTGTAAAGATAGAATTTCTTTGTAAAGTCAGGATAAATTAAAATCAAAGAAGTAATAAGTGCTTTTTTGAGTTTGTTAAATGCAGTTTCTTGATCAATGATTTAGACAAAGATAATATTATTTTAAATAATTTAAATAATACTGCAGTGATTTGGAAAAATCCTTTTACAAATTTTCAGTAATATTCAGCAAATCCAAGAAATGACTTAAGTCCTTTTACTGTTCGTAGTTGGTGAAATTCAACAATCTTCTGAATTGTTGATGGATTAGGTGAAATATCATTTTTATTTATCACATGTTTTAGGAAGAGTAGTTCTTTTCTGATGAAGTTGCATTTGGTTTTGTTAAGTTTTAATTCAACTTCTCTAATCTGCTAAAAGACAAGTCATAGATGTTGTAAATGTTCTTCAAATATTTGGGAGAATATATTAATGTCATTAATATAAATCATGACAAATTTCCAATTATAATCACCAAGCATACTATCCATAGCTCGTTAAAATGTGACAGATTCATTACATATATCAAAGAACATAATGTTAAGATAAATGCAGTTTTTTGTATGCTGTTAGAATGTATTTCAATTTGCCAGAAACTATTGATCAAGTCTGTAGATGAAAATTATCTTGACTCTTCAAGTGCATTCATTATTTCATTAATTCGTGGTAAAGGATAAGCATCTTTCTTTATGATGCTATTAACTTTTCGATAATCAACACAGAGACGTTTCTTTCCATTTTTTTTAGATACTACAACAATAAATGAGATCCAGGGACTAATTGAGAGTTGAGTGATTCCAGTATTTACCATTTTTTGTATTTCTTCAGAAATAAATTATTGATCTGATAATATTGCTCAGTAAGCTCTCTGTCTAATTGGTGATTCATCTCCAGTATCAATTATATATTGAACTTAATTAACTCTTTCAAGTTCATGGAGTTTAGCAGTAAATATATCATTATATTCATTTAGTAATTGATTTAGAGCTTGATTTTGTTCTGTTGTCAGTTTGCATTGTTCAATTAGTTTGTCATTTTTTTTTTGATTTAGAAAGTAAGTTGTCATGTCTTCATTATTAGTAAATCCAAATCTGTCAATTTCATGACTAGTTTCTCCTAGTTCTTGTCAAGTTTGTACTGGTTGTAATCTTTCAATTGGTACAAGTTGTAGGAATACTGTCTATGTGATTTTATCATTTGGTTGAATTGTGTAGTCATTATCAGATTGATTATATAGAATATAACTAATATTTTCAGTATAGCCTGAGTTAATAATTTTACTTTTTACATTAATTTTCTTTAAAGCAAGAGATGATCATGATATTAGTTAATATATAATTCCTTCAAATATTTCTATTGCGATGAAAATATTAATCATATTTATCTGTTGTAATTTAATAATGAGTGATTCTTCTCCAGTATATCTGACATTAAAGCCAGCAACATTTTCATGAGCATTTTCTGATATTTGATCTTTGTTCTCATCATTATAAACTTTAATAGCAAGGAGTGTATCTTTAATTTTATTTTCTTTAGCATGTATAGTCATTATATCATCTGGATGATATTCATTAGAAATCTCTTCGCAGAATTTGTAAATGCTTTCTTCATTTTTTCTGAAGTTTTACTAGTTTTTATTTGGTCAATTTTATTCTGAGTTTCTTTACAAAGTCAATAAATTTCATCGAGTATACTTTGTAAGTTGGAAATACCAAGAGGTATAAGTGATTCAATTTTGATTTCTTTGAATAATTTCTCAATTTTAGTTATGTATTGACCAATTTCTTCTTCAATTATGGAGTACAATGGTGCTATGCCTTTATTGATTTTTAAAGGTGATTGATTAGTGACAACTTGTTCTGATTGTATGCAATTATTACAATGAGTTGAGTCACAAGGGATGAAACATTCTTTGCATAACTTAACATTAATAAATTCAAGTTTGGCTAATTGTAATTGTCATTCTGAAGTAATCTGCTGATAAATGGAGTAGAAGGTTTCTGCTGCTGAGGCTTCTTCTAAACTATTGTATTCAATATATTCAATTTTATTTACAATATCATTCTCTTGAATATATCAGGATAGTATTGCTTTTCCAATTTTGTTGCAAGCTGTGTAGACATCAAGGAGAAGATATCTTTCTTGGAGCTTTCTAATGGTTCCAGTACTTTTACACCAGCCTTCATGGTTGAACCAAAAGATGCATTGGTGTTCATAAGTGCAGAAGTATCATTTTTCATAGCTATCAGTAATATACATATTTCTGGCTTCATCATATTTATGACACGTTGTCTAATTTCTGAAAGTATTTTTCATTCTTTATATTTCTCTTATCTTTATTTCTCTTTTTATAATCCGAAAAGCACATATAATGAAACTTATAATAATTCTTAATACATGTATAACGAGATTTGCAGAATTTGTGGCCGATTATACATTATATTGAGTTTTGACTGTATCAAGAGGTACCGGTACCATTTAATCAACTGCACATACCTCTTCGATTATCAATACGTAGTGTTTAGAAAAAAAAGATATCGCTATAAAAATAATTTCTTGATAGTGGTTAGAAAAAGGATGTCTCTGTAAAGACACTTTCTTTTATGCATATCTGGGCAACGTATGACTTAGTTTGTTTCAGCAGACAAGACAAAGAACTCAAAAAAATAGTAACGATTAGTGCCTGGAACCAGTTTTCGTCAAGACAAAACAAAGAAATCAAAATTTTCTCATAATGATAACGTGCATACCTAACTAGTCTTTTCCAGCTGGATAAGGCAACCTACTCAAAGAGTCCTCACAATGCTCACAATGATAACCTGTGCAATGTATAACTAGTTTGTTATCGACAGAACAAGACAATAACTTGAATTTCTCGCAATGCTAAAAACTTGAATTTCTCGCAATGCTAAAAATTAGTGTCCGAAACTTGTTTTCGGCAGGACAAGACAAAGAACCTAAAAAATTTCTCACACTGATAGCATGCATGCCTAAGCAATTTATAACTAGTCTATTCTCGACAAAAATCAAAATAGCTCTCAAATGAAACGATTGGTTCCCGGAACAAAGTAAACCAACTTATCCCAACCGAGACTTTACTCTGCTGAGATACATGATTTGATCGTATGACAATCTGATTGTTAATCTAAATCAAATATGGGTAGTTGATTTTGGTACATGCATTTTCTTTGTAAAAATTCCTTGCTTTGCTATCCATTTTTTGATAATCCTAAGTCGGAAAATAAAGAAATGCTTTTATACGATAAGTCCAAAATGCTTGTGATCTGTAAAATGTACTTACAATAATGGTGTAATCTAAAATTAACGATTCAAGATCTTTAGGTTCCCCTGACCAAAGACGAACATTTTGGGGTCTGGATCATAAGAAACAGGCTAAAAAGCGAAGTAAAAAATATAAGAAAAACTCGTTTCGCAAGTTAACTCATTTGGAATGCTTATGTTGCGGAAATTTGATCCTACCCTGAAGTTCTGTTTTTTTTTCGAACAGCATTCTTTTCCGAAAATTTCACAATTTTGCAGGTTCGCATAGTACAGATTGATAATAATATCCCATGAATATGCAATTTTGACAGCGTTTAAAATTCAACTTTGTCACTTAAATATTTTGATGTTCTCTTTATTAAGAATAATAATTGATAAATATACGTGTACATGTATTAGGTTAAAGTTTTCAAACACAATATCCAAGATATACCAAAATAGTCCAATACTGTGTCCAAAATTGTCCAACACTATTGCTATATATATCCAAAGTTATCCAACACTATATCTAAAATTGTCCAACACTATGCCCGAAGTCGTCCAAAGATATCCTGTGACCACATTGCATGTGACGATCGTTGAACACATGTTAAGCAACATACGTACTTCTATTCAAATGTTCACAATTTATTACGTATATTAAATGTAATATTAATAAACACCTATCAACCGATACTTTCATTAATAATCGTTCTAGAAATGTTGAGATTCGTGTGTTTACGTTTAGAAACTAATTAATTAAATGGAATGGATATCCATCTCTTACGTGTCTTTTGCCTAAAGTACAGATGCTGCCATATGTATTCAGAATTCAGTTTTTTAGATATAATTTCATGAAAATTTATTTATATCTTATGAAATTCCATACATATATTATATAAGGTTTCAGAAACAAGTTTGTCTAATAACTTAAATTAATAAAATTTTGTGTGAATTTTTATTAAAGATTGCAAATTTGAATGTGCAAAAATTAAAACGATTATTTTTAAGAAAATATATTTTCATACTTCAAAGAATATAAGGTAGATATGGGTATTATGGTGGGGTTAAAAGTAGTGATTAATAAAAATTTTCCAAAAAGCTCAATTACTTACAAAATCTATTGAACTAATACAATCTTCAATTTACTTTAAATTAACAAAAAAGAACATATTATTCTATTTAAATGCTTGCTATTTTATAGTTTGTACAAGAACACTTAAAAATTCAATATTTTTAGCATTATAAATATTGTGGTGAATTGAAAAATATCTCATAATACAGTGATCAGAATTGAGCAATTTTTACATCATTTGATTTATCTCATTAAATTAAATCAAATGACATAAAAATTGCTCAATTCTGATTACTAATTTATGAAATATCTCAATCCATCACAATATTCATATCCTTCATAATATCCACATTTATCTTATATTTAAATTTTTAATTAAATTTACTATATAATTATGAAATAGATTTAATTGAAAATTTAAATATATATTTTCTTAAAAATTAATTAATAAAATTATTTTTTAGAATCTTTTTATTCTCTTAACTTTTACACATTCCAATTTGCAATCTTTAATAAAAATTCACACAAAATTTTATTAATTTAAGTTACTTGTGCTATCAAACAAACTTGTTTTCCAGATCTTATATAATATATGTATGGAATTTCATAAGATTTAAATAAATTTTCATGAAATTGTACCTAAAAACCGAATTCTGAATACATTTAACATTTTCTTATATGTAAACATTTTGTTGGAAATGCTTCACCATGAATTCTCTTTGATTTTATGTGGTATACTAAAATTGAAATCATTTAGAATATACAAACTGACACTAAATAAATTTTAAATAAATCTTAATTAACATTAAATGTCAATACAAGTTATATTTAGAGACAAAAAATATCTGTCTCATTTGGAATTTTGTAGTAAAGATTCGACTGGTGTAAATTGTTTTTGAATTATTTTTTGACATTAGGTTTCAAAGTTAGTTCTATATTACAGATTTCACTTGCAAACTGCATTTGGATGGAGTTGTTATTTTTTGTAATTTTATCACCTCAAATTTTATCTAATTTCATCAGTTCTAGTCTAATACATTCCTTAATTTTTCTATGAGTTTCAAGGAGTCGTAGTACTGAAAATGCAAAACATTTAGTTTGCCATTGGATATAGATAAACTAGAGAAAGTTGTCAAGCTCCTCAGCAGTTGCTCTGTTTTCGGAATAGTAACCCAACATTTTTCAATAATAAATTTGCACTATCTGTGAGCGTTACGTATTTGGCATCTGGGTCGTACTCCGTTATAGATTTCCAATATAACTTTGTTCACCGAATAACAGTTCAATCTCGTATGTAACCATCCTCAAACTACAAATATCCACAAATTCAGTGTATGATTTTCCATTTAATACCTCCAAATTGATATAAGGAGGTACATATATCAGTATGTAAATCTCGTTTTATATCTGCTGAACCGGTAAGCCAGAATCGACAATGAAAGTATCAATATTCAACAATTACTATTAAATATTTATTTTATTAGATACAGTTATATAATGCATTTTAAAGCAGTTTGAATCTATTTTTGAAAACTTGATATGTATTAGAAAACAAAAAAGATACTTAGAAATGGTTCATTTTATAAATTATTATATGATTTGCTATGTAATAATTTCTTTGTCGCCTCGGTATAAATTTATTTTGTAATTTGTAGTAATGTTTTATAAATGTTTCCAAAACCTCCTTTAGTAAGATATTCAACATCAAAAGGGATCGATCCAAAAGATTCAGAAAGATAATGTTTTTTATTAGACAGAAGATATCTTTATTCTTGCTAGACCATTCATAATGATAGAAATTATAATTTTTTGACATTTGCACATTTACTGCAATCATGAGTATTGTGATCAAGGCATTTATTGTAACCATCTTTGAGTTCAGCGTTTTAGTTGAAACTTTTAAACGATATTAAAACAAAATTGATTTATATATGTTGATATTCCTTTATAGAACTTCTGTCTGTATTTATAAATTGATTGAAATGACACAGGAGCACATCACAAACCAATAAATCCGACATGTGTATGAGATCGAATTTAAAAAGACGAGTCATTTATCTTGTGGAAAGTCGAGATTGTTATGCATGAAAAAACGAGACAAAACGCATAACGATAAAAGAAATCTTTTATGACTTCTATTGTGTGTGTGTAAATGACAAAAGGCTCTTCATTCGTATATCAAATGTATGCTGTTGTCTGCCATTTTTATGTGAAATTCTTACGCGTAATACGAGTCACGTTAATATAAATGAAAGTTATATGAAGATATAGCGTTAACAAATATAGAATTTTGCTTGTATATTTTAAATACAATCCGACCTCCCTATAATCACACACTCGGGATATGAAAAACTGTGATTATCTCTATAGTCACCTCCCATATACATGTAATCACAAAATCAATATAGTCGCATTTTTTCAGTTCACAACTTATTATGGAGCATATGAAATTTGACCTCCATATAGTCACAACTTCTTTTTAATCACAGTTTTTCATATCCCGAGGGTGTGATTATAGGGAGGTCAAACTGTATAAAGAGATTATGACTATATGGAGGTCAAATTTCTTATGCATCATAATATGTTTGGAACCAGAAAAATGTGACTATAGTGCATAAAATCTAAAGTCATCAAACGTTTGTATTTTATAAATAGATAAACTTCTTTACTAAGAAGTAAATACAAAATTTAATCCGTGAATATGCTCAGAAAAGGCCTATTCTATCATATTCCCGGATTAAATTTTGTATTTACTTCTTAGTAAGAAGTTTATCCATTTTATAAAATACAAACGTTTGATGACTTTAGACTTTATGCACCATATATTGATTTAGTGATTATGAAGGTACTACTGTACACATAAAAGAAGTAACGGTAAATTCTAGAAATTATGATAGAAGTGATTAAAATTTACACGTACGCACAAAGAAGTTGAAACATCTTTTGGTCATTGTGCTTTAGCTCGAAACACAGTTAATATCGAATCTATGATCGCTGTCACTCTAATCGTAATGTTTTAGACTGACAAATTAAATTTTATTAATATTGATTTAAAAGTTGCTACGAATTTCTTTCGATGAAAACGAATCTTGTTCCAAGAATGGCTAACAGATTCATGAATTTTATAAAACGCTCGACATATCTGCATTTTCTTCGATTCAACTTATTCTAATAAAATTGAGTATACAAATAGATGTTTATAATGTTACCGGGTTGAGGCTAATTTCGTTAATCTCACAATGTTGGTAACGGTAAAGCTCGCCTGGCCAGATTCGTTAGTCTACTTCATTAGCACCAAAATTTTATCCCGATTTCTATGCAGTATTGTAATTTAATATCTTTTTTTATGTTGTTTTGTTTTTCTATTTTGTTTCAATCCTTAATTATATTTAAGTTCTCTTTTAAATTCTCTCTCGATAAATTCTAGAATAATACTTCACAATGTAATCAAAAAGATGCATATTACATTGAGCGATATCGGCACAGGAATTAGAAACTAACAAACATCATTGAGTCTATTCACTCGCCCCCGACCCATTGTTGCAGAAAAATCGTCGACTACGGCTAATCACAAGAATAGAACCTAATATTTAAATAAATAAATTTCAATTAATAAAATGTTATATGATTATTATTTAGAAATAAAATGTACCTGTGTCAGTTGGAATTGAAATTGATTTTCTGGTAAGTATTCGACTGATGAAATTTGCATTTGAGTGAATTTTTTGCTTTTCGTAGGAATACTTATTTGAAATTTTATCTTCTCATCAAGTATTCTAATTTTTTTTCCATTCTACTTTGATACACCCAATCTTTTTATGTGTTTTAGGATGTTCTAAAGGGCTGTAGTATTGAAAATGCAAAGCATTTAGTGTGTTGTTGCGTATGTAGAGTAAATAAAAGTAAAGTTTTTCGGCGGTTGGTATAGAATCACGACATTTCCAATAATACACTGCACCATTCCACAGCGAATTTCTTTATATTTTTAAGGTGGATCTCTCGATTAGAGTGTCCAGTTTACTGCATTTGCAGAATCCATATGGTTTATAATGAGATTTGTGTACATTATTTGCATAATGATAATAATGATGTGGATTTTATAACTTGCATTATAAAAATGATTACGCGAAATTCTAAACAATAATTTGCAGAATAAATTGCAGTAAACTGGACACTCTACTCTCGATATAGTGTGTTTTGGTATCTTAGGTT